AAGTCCATGGAGCGTGCGTGTACTGAATCGGGCCCTGTGCAGTGGCTGTCCTGGGTTTCAGGCAGGGTTTTTCCTGCCAGGCCTGAAGGTGCTGCCAGAAATGGGTCCCGTGCCCGTATGCACGCAATCATGAGTCCTGCCACCGAGCTGCAGCCCGAATAGAGGGTGCAGTGGCCAAATGGCGGCGCTCCCTGCCGAGTCGTCCCATCGGTCAGCCAGGAAGAGCATCGAGCATAGTGGCTGCTAGACAGCATCCAGGCACGCATGGCATCATTTGAATGCTCAGCAGCCAGGTTGCAGAATCGCTCCGAGCTGGGAGTCCACACTCACCCCTGCCTGTGGTGTGGGAATCTTCTGACATTGGAGAATGGATTTTGGGGGTGTTCCGGGGGCAAGGAAGCGAGGTGACCAGCATCACCAGGACTGAATGCACCTGGACATGCCCCAGTCTCCTCCGCTCCCCTCCAAGGTGCCACCCTTTGTTGTGGCTATGTGCTGCCAAGGCATCTCTGACGTATGGCAGCCGTATGAAAGAAAGCCTTCCAGAAGGACCTCTTCCTGGCAGCTCAGCTCTGCTCTTCTAAATTCAGCGTTGTAGCTTCCTTTACGCAGCCAATTCACCTCCTATTTGGTATTCCTTTTCTTCTGCTACTTTCAGCTCTTCCAGGCATGGCTGTCTCCTCCACTCACTCTTACGACATGCCCAAAGAAGGACAGCTTCAGCTTTGTCATTTTGCTTCTCGGGAAAGATTGGCTTGATCTGATCCAGGCCCCCCTGTTCCTCTTTGTGTCGGTCATCTAGGCCAATCTGCTGCTTAGTGCAGGTTGCAACCGCAGCGTCCCTGGCAGAGAGCACTGGGGTCCCTGCATTAATACCTCCAGCAACGAAGGACCCATCAGTGCCAAAGACAATCTGTTCTGCAGTCAAAGAGTTCTTGTCCTGCATTTCCACCCACCGAGTTCCAGGCCTGTTCTGGGGTAAACAGAGAACGAGTTTGATATGCACAGTTTCAGTCCAGGGAGCCCTTTTGCCTCCGCAACGGTGCTGGAAACTGTTGTAGCCACACCCAACGCGTGCGATTCCCTGCCCCATGTGGTGGGTGGTGTTCCAGAAGCATCTGAAAGCCGTCCTTTGCCAGCACTCCTTTGGTCATTCCATCATCGTCTGAACACTTTTTGAGCTGCGATGAGCTATCACTACTTTCATGCTCCTTGTGATCATGGGAGTTTTTTATGGTCATCAGTAACCATTTCCCTTATTTAACCATTTGTCATAATACTGATAGGCAGGTGCGGGTTTTTTTTTTTTTTTTTTTGGTTTTGGTTTTTAGCCCTCTCTATTAGGAGAGGAAAGGCAAGTTTCTTCTTTTTGGCAAATAAAATTAGTTTGCAAAAATGCAGGTGTCTTCCAGGAAGGAGTCTACACTGTAAAGTAAGACAGGAGACTAGAAAAGAGGAAGAAAAGGAGAAAGAGATGAGCACCCAGGAAATGCACTTAAAAGTGGACTTAAAACTTGACTCTAGTGTGGAATGAGGATGAGGTCAGTAAGGTGATGCTCAGATGAAGGGGGTGGATTTTGAGAACAGATTTGAAGACAGATACAGGGATGTACCCTCCCTGCCCATGTAGCAGTACTGTCCGTGTAACTGGGATTTCTCTCCCTGCACACATGGCAGATAGTTTAAATAATGAAGGAATTTCTGGAAGTTGACCTGCCATATGCTGACACTGAGATCTGCAATGAAACAATGCAGTGGGGAGTGATTCTATCAGGGTTCAAGCCCTTTCCAGTTTACTCCATTCCATTCCTTGTAGAAAGGACAACCTAGGAACAATCCAGTATTACACAAATGGGGTTGATTTTTTTTTTTAAATGGGGGCTTCTTGGGAACACTGGAAATACTTCTGCAAATGGAATTCATAAAATAAATCTCCAGGGCTGCTATAAAATATAAAAATAAACATTGCCATCTGCACTGAGGGTCACTTGGTGACTCTGGAAATGCTGAGCATATAATAAAAAGGTCCAAAATGCAGGGGATGTCTTAAGAGGCAGCCCACTACGACCAGAGCACCAGATTGTTCACTGGGGCCATCAGTTCCTTGGGAGTCCTGCTGAAATAGGGTACCAGAGGCCCGGATGGTCTCCGCTGCATCTGATCCCCCAAATTATCCCCCTGGCTTTATAACCACATGTCCTTCACCTATTGCCACCTTTCCCAGCCCGTGCCCCCCACATGCTTTGAAGTGTTCCCCCAGAGGGGCTTCTCCTGAGATCAAATGCCCTATTTTCTCCTGTTTATATATCCTTGTTTACAAATACTGGTGTCTTGAGGAAACAAGATCCTTTAAAGACTCTCTCTCTCTCTCTCTCTCTCTCTCTCTCTCTCTCTCTCACACACACACACACACACACACACACACACAGAGAGAGAGAGAGAGAG